TACTTCATCATAATCTCAAGGAGGTCATGGATGGTATAGTTTGCCACTTGTGCCTGGGGCCACGGTAGGAACTCAGCAAATACTTGTTGGATGATTGTCAACAGCCAGACATGCTCAACACCTGCCAGAAGGCTGCAGGCTGCACAGAGACAGCCTGCCAGGAATGGCCCTGGCCTGGGGCATCCCCCATGTCCCAGTCTTAGATACCTGGCCCGAGGAAGGAGGGACAGAGAGGGCAGTGGGGGTGGCCCTAAAATAATAAGGTCTGGGCCAGGTTGCTGCGTGAGGGGTAGGTGTGGGTGTTCTGAGAGACCAGGAAGATCTGGGACCAATGGTTGGCCGGCAGGTTGGCTGGCACTCAGGGTTTTCAGCCCAGCCCCCGCCCCCCCAGACTGCTTTCTAACTGGCCGGGATCGGTTTTCCTCCTCTCAGAACCACCCCCACTACCCAAGGAGACTGAGGACTGCAGAGGTCAGAAGTAGGAAAAAAGCCCACTGCTTTCAGCCAGGAGGGCGTGGCTTAGGGAGGAGCCCACAGGTAGTTGCCTTCTGCCGAGGTACCTGGAGAGGTCTCTGTGGTGGCCAGGTCGTTAGGCGGAACAGGTCCACAGACTAAAGGCGTGTCTTCCATTCACCCGTGGCCATTTCCTGCTAAGAAGCCCACCGTTCACCCTTGCTTCACCTTCTCATCGTGGGATTCGTCACTTCTGAGCCCACATCTAAATCCAGCCTTCGAAACCAGCCTTCAATTCCTTCATTTTTTAACCTAGAGTCTCCCCTAGGGGGGCCCTCGTCCTGGGCCATGGCCCTAAGGGTGGGCCTGGGACCTGGGCAGCTGGAAGTCATGGGCATTCTGCTTCTTTTCGGATTGGGTAAGTCTGGGTCAGCAGGGAGGGAGGGCTGGAGCAAGGGCACTGGCGAGAGCAGGCAGAACCCTGTGGAGAGCTCAGCTCTTATCCTGGATTCAGGAATCTCTGTGCGCCTACCATTTGGCCATCTTCTCCTGTCAGCCCCTTAAGCAGGAGTTGCCCTCTGGGAGAGCGGTTGGTATTAAGGGGTCCAGGAATTCTCAAGCCTCCCTGTTTACTCTTCCCTCTTTCTTTCCCCTCAGGAGCTGGCGGGACCGAAGGTGAGGCTTCCTGGGGAACTGGGAGGAGGGCAGTGAGTGAGGGCACGCCAGTGTGGAGTCCCCCGGTGGGTTTTAGGAGCTCTTGTCACCCTGCTGAGCTTGCTCACCTAGCCACACTAAGTGTCCCAACTGCTCTGTGAGTATGGAATCATGGCTCTTGTTTTATGAGGAAACTGAGGTGAGGAGAAGCGGTGAGTTGTCTGACTCTCCGTGTGTGTACCTGGGCTGGTTCCGAGGGAAACTCCTAGGCGGACTGGTTTTGAGTCCCAGCTTAACTATTTAGTAGCCTGGTCTCCTTAACGTTCTAAGCTCCAGTTTCTTTGCCTGGAAAAACTGTCGGTCAGCTCCGTTCTTCAAGGGCTGTAGCGAGGAGTCCCTGAGATTGGGTAGTGAAAGCCCCTTTGGGGCTAGACTTGCCACGGCGGCTAAGCAGCAGCTATTGTGATGATTATGAGGGAATGGAGGAAGAGTCTGGCCGGTTGCTTTCTCTGCTTGGGGAAAATGTGGAAGGCAGTTTTAACTCCTCTCCCCTGCTGGCTCAGTGGCGGCGGGTCCACACCACAGTCCAATGGTTTCAGTGTTCAGCCACATCCATACCTCTGTGTGCTCTGCGTGGGGATAGGGTGGAAAGAGGGATGTCCCTAGGCGACGCACAGGTCAGCTCGGTGCAGCTGCGACAGTCATAGGCAGGAGAACAGTTGTCAGCCCGGACAGTGTTCAGGAGAGAGGGCCCCAGAAGCTGAGAGCAGCACCTGTGACAGGCTGTGTGTGTGTGTGTGTGTGTGCACGCGTGCGTGTGTGTCTGTGTGTGTGTGCACGCGCGCGTGTGTGTCTGTGTGTGCTGGGGGGGGGCGCTGGGGGCGCACTTAGGGAGGCTCTCTGACCTGGCAGAGAAAGGGTGGGAAAGACAGAGTAAAGTGACTGGTATTAAAAGGATCCAGAGGACCCAGAGGTGAGCAATGTATGGCTCAGTGTATGTGACAGGAAGTGTCCTGCGCAATAGTCAGAGGACAGCGCCATGTGCATCTGGAATCTATCCTTTTTTCTTTAATTCTTTAAAATGTAGTATTTTGCCTGTGTGAATGCATGTGTGCCACATGAGTGTCCGGTGCCTTTGGAGGTCAGAAGGTATCAAATCCTCTGGAACTAGAATTTAGGAGAGTTGGGAGCTGCCATGTGGTTGCTGGAAGCCAAGCCTAGGCCTCTGCAAGAGTAACAAGTGCTCCTAACAGCTGAGCCACCTCTCCAGCCGCTGGAATGGATCTTAAGGGCAGTTGGAGCCATGAGAGAGTTCAGCAAGACTGTGGCTTGGCCAAATTTGTGGTTTATAAAGCTATTCGGGTGTGTAAGGAGGCTTGAGAGGAAGGGGCTGCCACGACACTTGACTAGGACATCACCAGGCAGTGACTTCTCACAGCTGCTGAGCCATAGGGTGGGGAAGGTAGCTGAATGCGAAGTGGGTGGTGGGGCGGCAGGGTGGGCAGCGGGGAGGGGAGGAGGGGCGGTGGGCAAGGGGGGCGGCGGGGTGGGCGGCAAGCTAAGGGCTGCTGTGGGAGTCCCAGAAAGACCGTCTTCACCCTCCCCTCTTCCCTGGGCAGCCTCCTGTGGTGCCGTCGTCCAGCCACGCATCACAGGTGGTAGCAATGCGAAACCTGGCCAGTGGCCCTGGCAGGTCAGCATCACCTACTCCGGAGTCCACGTGTGTGGCGGGTCTCTCGTGTCGGATCAATGGGTGGTGTCAGCGGCTCACTGCTTCCCCAGGTACCAACTCGGTGGAGGGGCAGAGGGGGAGTCAAAAGTAGGTGGGAAACAGTGTTTGGGTAACAAGCCTGAAATCCCAACACTTGGGAGATGGAACCAGAATCAGAAGTTCAAGGTCAGACAGCTACCACATAGTAAATTCAAGGCCAGCTGGACCATGTTTACATTAGACCCTATTTAAAAAAAAAAAAAAAAGGCATGCCATGGGTCAGTCTAGATCATGTGTCAGACTAGTTCCTGGTGTGGATTTCAAGAGTCTTGGCTGCCTTAAATCCCAGCACTCAGGAGGCAGAGGCGAGGCAGAGACAGGTGGATCTCTGGGAGTTCCAGGTCAGCCAGGGATAAATAATATTTATCAAAAAAAAAAGAAGAGGAAGAAGAAGGAGGAGGAGGAGGAGGAGGAGGAACCAGTCAGAGGTAAAAGTGAGAGGTTAGGGTCAGTACCAGTGTCCTGTAGAAGGCCTCTGGTATTTGGCAGGCATTGTGAGCTAGGGTAGTGTAAGGCAGCAGGGGTCAGGATAGAAGGTCTCTCAGGTCCTACCCCCTGCCTCTCTGCCTGCAGAGAACACGACAAGAAAGAGTATGAGGTAAAGCTGGGAGCCCACCAGCTGGACGCCTACAGCAACGACACTTTGGTCCGCATGGTGGCGCAGATCATCTCCCACCCAAGCTACCGTGAAGAGGGCTCTGAGGGCGACATTGCACTCATCCGCCTCAGCAGCCCTGTCAGCTTCTCCCGCTACGTCAAACCCATCTGCCTCCCTGCAGCCAATGCCTCCTTTCCCAATGGCCTCCATTGTACTGTCACAGGATGGGGTCATGTGGCCCCTTCAGGTGAGGTGGGGCACTGGGTGCTAAGAGATAGGGAAGGCAAGCCCGTAGAGGCTGGTGACCCTGAATAGCCATTCTGTCCCCACAGTGAGCCTACAGACGCCCAGGCCACTGCAGCAGCTTGAGGTCCCACTGATCAGCCGTGAGACCTGCAGCTGTCTCTACAACATCAATGCCGTGCCTGAAGAGCCCCACACTATCCAGCAGGACATGCTGTGTGCCGGCTACGTGAAGGGAGGCAAGGATGCTTGCCAGGTAAGGGCAAGGGCCCAGGGAACAGAGAGGTCAAGTAGACCCTGAGAGATGTAGGGCTGAGGGGAGCTGGCATGGAAGACTGCTGACCAGAGATATGTCCTGACAGAACTCTTCTTTTTCCCTTAGGGTGACTCTGGAGGCCCACTCTCTTGTCCCATAGAAGGCCTCTGGTATTTGGCAGGCATTGTGAGCTGGGGTGATGCCTGTGGAGCCCCTAACAGGCCTGGAGTATATACTCTGACTTCTACCTATGCCTCCTGGATCCACCGCAACGTGGCACAACTCCAGCCTCGCATAGTTCCCCAAACTCAGGAGTCCCAGCCAGATGGCCACCTCTGCAACCATCATGCTGCCTTCAACTCAGCTCCAGCCCAGGGACTAAAGCCCATGCTTTTCCTGCCACTGGGCCTGGCCCTGGCCTCTTCCTTCTTCCGCCTTTGGTTTGAACATTAAGCTACTTACCCCTCAAAGCTGACCAACAGCATCCCTAAGGACATGTGCCTGTTCAGGAGGGCAGTGCATCAACTTGACCTTTGAGCCCATTCTTTTGTCTGCTCTTCGGGGTTATAATCTAGGGCCAAGAGGTTTACGGCCTGTGGAATGGGCCAGAAATTCTAGCTCTATTATCTGCAGTTTATTGGTTAGGCTCCTATGGAGCTCCCAGAAGCCTCAATAGGAAACCGAGCCCTGACTTCAGCCTGTGTCTAGAACACAGGCCAGTGCCTAGCTGACTGCTGCAGAAGGCTGGCTTCAGGGCCCTACTCATCCTGCCTGATGAGCCCATTACTTCGTCCTCTTCCTGTCTCCTGGGCTTTGTCTGTCTTTCAGACAGGGAAGACCTCAGCCTTACTCCAATGGCTGCCAAGCCTGCTTTGAGCCCAACTCCTGGACTCCGGAGGACTGAGCCCCCACCGGAGCTGGCTGGGGTTTGGATCAGGGTGAGGGGATAAGCGGAGCAAGGAGTAAATGTTTTGAACACAACTGGCTGTATTGAAATGAAATGAAGAACAGTACCCTGTAGCATCTCCTTTGTACCTCCAAAGTCCAGCACACCAGCAGACTTTACTTTATTAAAAAAAAAAATGACACAAAACAGGTCCGTACACATATTTACAGGTTAACGACAGGAAACGCAGATCCAAAGCAGGGAACAGCCCACTCACTTCTTGGAAAGCTTGACTTGTTTGTGCTTCGGGGGTGCCCACTTGAGGCAGACAGAGTCCACTGTGGGAGAAAAGAGCACAAGAGGCCGTGGGTCAAGTCTGTTCACACCTGGCTGCTCTTTCTGGGCCCAGGCCAGGTTTCATCTTCTCAGGGTAAGAACAAAAGGGTGACCTCAGTCCTGAGGAGGGGAGGGAATCTCAGGAATGAGTAACCTGCTCTAGGTGGCAGTCCTAGAAACTGGCCAAACTGGTTTGGGATCTTGTAACAGGAAAAAAAAAAAAAGGCTGCCTTGACTCTTATCCCACCTTGCCAAACACACCTGTACACACACACACACAAACACAGACACAAAATGCACACAGCAGCACCCCACACACCTGTGATCGGTGGTTTCTTATACTGGGCACTTTTGAGGTGTTCTTCTACCAGCTTAGGGGTGACACAGATCACATGCTGGCCCTTCCAGTACTTGACCATGTTGAGGGACTGCAGGGTGCTGATGATGTCGTTCTGGGTGATGCTGGTCATTTGGCTGTATGTAGAGAAGGAACACAGTTCATGGAGACAAGATCCATGACCAATTTTAGGAGAGCCCATTCCTGTAGGATTCCAAGATGATCTTTCACAAGGTCCTTGATGGACAGTACCTAAGATCTTTGATAGACAATGTGCCCCGGAAGTCTCGTAGGATCTCCAGCAAGACCCATGACCAGTAGCTTCGGTAGCTGAGTTTGCCCAGGTCACTCAGTGGCTTCTCTGGAGAGCCTACAGTACTCTCCAGCTTGGAGAGCTCATAACCTGGCAGTGACAGAAAGAAAACCTTCAAGATCCAGCTTCTCCCCACTCCCCCCCCACCTCATCATTCCCAAGTATAGCACCCACTTCCTGGATGGCAGCAGCTACTCACTGAACGCAATGAGAAACTTTCCATAGCCACGTCGCTGGTAGGGGGGCAGTGTCAGGATGCAGGCCACATTGTTTCCATCTGGGGATTCCTTCTCCTGTGGAGTATGGGGTACTCGGGTCCTTTGGGGTTTCCAGCCTTCATTCTAGTTTATAACACCCTCTTCCCAGTCTCCCCAATCTAGTACCTTAGAAAAGTAGCCGACAATGTGGGCCCCTTGCCTATCTACTTCTGTCAGAATGTAAAAGACAAAGGGCTCCACATCAAAATACAAGGTCTTGTGGTCCAGGAAAAGCTTGGCCAGCAGACACAGGTTCTGACAATATATCTAGGGATAAGAGATAGAGACATGCTAAGCAAACAGTACAACACCTCCGCTCGGTCTGGGGACCAGAAGCCTCTGCAGTTCTCTAAAGAGCCAGGCTGCACAGAGGAGCCAGGCAGGTAGCAGGAGTGAGCGCATCCACGGACAGAATTCAGAGCAGAAAGGAGTCTTCCTGTCAGTAAGGCGGACAGGAAGGAGGCCCAAAGTGAAGTCCATTCACACTAACGGTAACAGGAGAGCTGGGCTGTTCACAGCTTCCTTTATTAGTTGTTTGTGTTTGGAACAGGGTCTCACTATGTAGTCCTGGCTGGCTTGGAATTTATTTTGCAGACATGCTGGCCTCAAACATAAAGAGATCTGCCTGCTTCTGCCTCCTGAGTTCTGGAACTAAAGGCATGTACCATCATGCCCAACTATCTGACACTTTTTAAAATATTAAGTTGCACATGTAAAGAAGGTCAGAGAGCAACTTTCCACTGTGGGTTCCAGGATAAATTCAGGCTGTCAGGCTTGCACGGCCAGCACGTTTACCTGTCAAGCCATCTGACCACTTTTGAGGGCCAAATAAAAGGTAGGGTTTTACATGTGCAGTCAGCTTCAATCTTTACAGACATTAGCTTTCAGCACAGGAAACTGAGGCCCAGAAAGAAGAGTGCCTTAGGTTCCACGGCTGGTGGATGCGGGGCAGAAACTCTGTCCCACTCACGGCCTGCAGCAGTCAATACAAAGCTGCTAAGCAGAAGCTGGTAACTGCCAACTCAAGAGGCCTGCAGCCAGCCCCGAACCCTGAGTTGTCTGCTCGCCTGGACAGCTGCTGGGCCCTGTCTAACTGATACAAACAGAGACCTGCCTAGGCCAGCATTAGGACAGACAACAGTGCCTTGCAGCTGCCTTCTTAGTATAGATTTCAAGTGTTTCTGGTTTTGTTTTCTTTTTTTCACACTGGCCTTGAACTCTCAGCGATCTGCCTGCCTTTGCTTCCAGGAGTGCCAGGATTGAAGGCGCGTGCCATCACACCCCGCCCTTTCACTCTGAGACAGGGTTCAGACAGCTACAGCCCAGGGTGCCCAGCCTCCTGGGTGCTAAGATTATAGGTGCGCGTCACCATACACTGGGTGTCTGTTTTCACACTGCTTCTGCACTCCGACCTAGTCTAAGACTGTGTGAGCCCAGCACAGCTAGTCTGAGGTGACTCAGGAGTCAGAGCAGGCACAAGGTGGAGCTGGCAAACACCACCCCCAGCCCCACTCCATTGCCACTGGAGGCCACTGCTGTTATTCCACCAGTTCAAGCTAAAGGAAGTCCGAGTAGCTGGCAGGGAGCAGGCTCGGTATTGCCCCAGCAGGTCTCCAATAACAACGAAGGCCATGTTTACTAACAGCCTACTAGATGCCAGGCACGTGCTACATAGCTGACGTTTGACATTTGTGGTCTCATCTGTTCCACCAAACAGATGAGGTAAATAATTATGACTCTTATCTTATGGATGCGGAAACAGGAACAAAACAAAGTTAGGTCACTTGTCTGAGGCTAGCCAGGAAGTGACATGGTGATCTAAGAAGCCTGCCCTCTTCATCTTGTACTACACAGCCCTTCAGGGGAGACCAGAACACTGCTAGAGACCTGTCAGACCCAGCAGACAGGGAAGACAGAGACAGAACACCAAAGTCCATCCGCTCCCATTGGAGTCACTCACTCCTCTGAGAAGCAGGAGCTCAGCCTGTGAAATCTCTGACAACAATGCTTCCCCTTCCAGGAAAAAAGGAAGCTGGTTAAGAGCAGCCTTAGGCAAGACAGTTCTCCATAACTACCCAGACCAGAACCACCCTGTCTGAAAAGGAGCCCCCAGAAACAGAGGGGAGACCTGGCCGTGTTCACTATACACTAACACAGGCCAAGCACCAAGTGACATGAGACCTCACTTGGTCAAGAGTAGATATAGATACCCACTGAAGGCTGACCTCTGCCTGGTAGAGGGGATAGGTAAGAATTACCCAGGAAGCCGGGCTGTGGTGGCCTTCGCCTTTAATCCCAGCACTCAGGAGGCAGAGGCAGGTGGATCTCTGTGAGTTTGAGGCCAGCCTGGTCTACAAAGCGAGTTCCAGGACAGTCAGGTTTGTTACACAGAGAAAAACCAAAACCAAACCCAATAAACAAATAAACAGAACGCTCAGCCTGTGCTAATCCAGGGGGACCAAGAGAACGAGAGTGGTACCAATTATTTGGCTGGGCAGTGGTGGTGCACACCTTTAATCCCAGCACTTGGTATGCAGAGGCAGGAGGATCTCTGTGAGTTCCAGCACAGCCTGGTCTACAAGACCTAGTTCCAATACAGGCTCCAAAGCTACAGAGAAACCCTGTCTCAAAAAGCAAAAACAAAAACAAAAAATTACCCAGGAGACAGATAGCCAGTTTCCCACAAGCCCTGGGCTACCAGCTCACCTTGTGGTCTTTGCCATCCACTTCATACACAGAGATGTTGCTTTTGCGGTAGATCTCCTTCCCTGGGGGCTGCCGCCACTGACACTGGCCCTGGAGAGCCGGGAGAGAGAACAAGCTTCAGACCTTTCTTCTAAGAGCCGTCCCCTGCCTCTTGGCTTTGCCATGTGCAGGCCTTATCTATGTTCAATGCTTTCTATCCAGTAACCCTCATTTCCTCGTCAGAACAGGATCTAACTAAGGAATTTAGGAATAACTAAGGCACAAAGAGGCTAATAACTGCAAAGTATCACAATTGACTGATCTTGGGTCTGGACACGACACCTCTTTTCCTAAACCTTCTATATTTGCCTCAGGTCCTGCTTAGGGAGACGTCCTGCTGTGCTGGTGAAAAACACCCCCTTCCTGCCAGCTGTAGTACTGCATTTCTTTCTACCAGCTGACATTGCTCAGCTGGATTTGTGCCTCTTTTGCCTTGAGGAGCCCAACACCAGGTTTTAGTAAGGGCAAGGAACTTGAATAGTTTGATCCCCATTCTGTAGAAGAGGAAACTGAGGTCTGAAGAGTGGCAGTGAGCTGACCAAAGCTACCCTCCCAGTAGTAGAAAAGCTGTCTTTTGTTTCTTCTTTCCTGTCTTTCTTTAAACAAACTTTTTTATTTTTATTTTTTAGCTGGGCATGGTGTTACAACATCTTTAGTTCCAGCACTCCGAAGGTGGAGGCAAAGGCAGGTAGATGTCTGTGAGTTTAAAGGTCAGCCTACAACAACAAACAAAATACATATATCTATGGTGTGTATGCATGTATTCATGTTTGTGGGTGTGTGTAATTGAATGCAAGTTCCTGCAGAGACAAGAAGAGGGCTGAAGATTTGGAACTGGAGTTACAGGCAGCTGACATGGGTGCTGTGATGTAGGAGATTCTTCTGTCTATGTGTTGCTTTCATTGGTTGAATAAAGAAATCGCCTTGGCCTTTTGATAGAGCAGCACTTAGGTGGGCAGAGTAGACAGAACAAAATGCTGGGAAGAAGGGCAGTATGACAGACGCCATGAATCTCCAGCATGAGACAGATGTAGGTTAGAATCTTGCTGGTAAGCCACAGTCACGTGGTGACACACAGATTTAATAGAAATGGGTTAATCGAGATGTGAGCGTTAGCCAATAAGAGGCTAGAGCTAAGGGGCCAGGCAGTAATTTAATTAATACAATTTCTGTGTGGTTATTTCGGGGGTTAAGCTAGCCGGGTGGTGGGATGTGGCCACTCCCTCCTCATACTACAGTGCTGGAAACCTGGGTTGTCTGCAAGAGAATACAATGTTTTCAACTCCTGAGCTATCTCTCCAAAATCCTGCGTTTCCTTCCTTTGTGGAGTCCAAGCCAGGCTAGAACTCACTATGTAGCTGGGGATGGCCCTGAACTTCGGATCTCCATAGAGATCTAGTTAATATCGTCACACCCAGAGGAATCCAGGTCTCTAGTCTCCTGGGCAGTTTTTCCCCAACTTCTCTGGACTCATGCCCAGGCATGGCAGGCCCAGCCTCACCAGGTGGAAGCGGTAGCTCTTCTCGTACTTCATGTACTTGAGGCAGTACTCGCAGAGCCAAAGCTTGGGCTGCTTCCCGTAGTCTTCTGGGAAGGGTGAGAAGTACCAGGCATCGATCTCGTAGTTCCCAATGTGGATCTTGTCTACATACTTCACTTTGGTGATCTGCAGACAGGGGGAGCTCAGCAGGAACGAGGAGGGCAGGAGTATCCCAGCTGCTCCCCAAACCCTGCACATTCTTACCGCCTCATGTTCCTTTTCCAAGGCTGCTGTGGTGGGGTCCATCTCTGCATAGGTCTGGGCAAGAAGTGCACAGAGATGAACAGACATGGTTAGACTGTCCCCCCACCCTAGAACTCAGTGCTCATCTACTGTCGTCTATAATAACTGCAGTAACAATAATCATGTCAACACCTCATTTGGTCTACTCGGTTGGGAGGCTGGCTCTTCTTAGCGCCCATCTGCTTACTGACTCACATGTCCAGATGCCTCAGTCTGGACCTTGAGCTACATGTAAGCAGGGCCTAGGGTGAGGCCTGGTCTGTGCTTAGGTCAAGAGCTTTGGTGACAGTAGTGGCACTCGCCTTTAAACCCAGCACCTAGGAAAAAGGGGGGCGGGCCTAGGTCAACAAGTATGAAGCGAGCCTGGACTACGTTGGACCCCGTGTGAAAACAAACAACAAAAACCAGATTGATGTAGGGTGTAGTGACACACCTTTTTAAATCCCAGCACTCAAAAGGCAGAGACAAACAGATTGCTGAGTTTGAGGTCAGCCTGTTCTACACTGAGTTCCAGGACAGTCAGGGATACACAGAGAAACATTGTCTCAAAAAATAAACAAACAAAAAGCTTCAACTGTACACTGGGTCATTCATGTCCAGAGCAAGACCCACTGCTGGCTGGAGTCTCCCTCCTGAACAGCAGACCTCAGCAGTTTCTGAGAATACTATGTGAGGTTGCCCTGTCAGACAGTAGGTGTCCAGAAAGGACTTGTAGGACTCTTTCTTCTGGGCCCTCTCTTAAACATCACTGTCACTGGCCAACTGAACGGATGCCAACTCTCATGTCCATGGCATCTCTGGAACCAGTTCCGGTGGAACTTCTCTCTGACCCACTCGAAACACTCGCTGCTACTTTAGGTCTGGACCACTACCTGTGGTTCCTTGCTACATCTCTGCCTCTCAAACCCACAGCTTTCAAAACCTTTCTTCCAGTCTTCAACCTTTACAGTTACTTCCACGTGAGCATGCCCGTCCCTGTCGTCATGCTCTAGATGCTCCCTCACCGCGGCAGAGCACAGGTCAGGGGAGTCTGTGACAGGGCTCTGGGAGCTATCATGGATAATTACTTTTGCTTTTTCCTGTCATTCCCAACATCCTTCCCAAGCATCTTCCAGGAATTTTTATATTTCTTATATTTACTTCTTTATTGTGTTGTTAATTATGTTGTTTTTGAGATAGGGTCTCATTCTGCACAGCACATGGTAGACTAGCCTTGAACTCCAAGCTTACAGGAAATTCTTATCCCAGCCGATCAATCCTTCACACCTCAGGACCCCAGTGCTGTGACTACAGGTGAGCACCACCACACCTGGCCTTGACAGAGAACTTTTTAGCAATTTTAGAGAGTAGTAAACAGACCAGAATAAGGTCCCTTGCCTGTGGGTACCTGCAGCTGCCAAGCATTCTATAGATACTATAGATATTATTTCATTTAGCTTTTATACTGAGTCTTTGAAACTAGAGTGCTGTCATTCTCACCATACAAAAGAGGAAACTAAGGTACAAAGAAGCAAAGTCACTTGCCTAAGGTCACAGAACTGGTAGCTCGGCAGCCTTGGTCTGCCCAATTCCAACAAAGATAGGAAAATCAAAAGGAACAAAGATTTTCTCCTCAAACGCCTCTTTAAACTTCATGTCTCAATTTTCACAAAGCACAATTTTTTTCTGCAAATACATTAAAGAATTACAAAACCACTATTTTTCTTAAACGTTGCAGTTTATTTAGAATTAAACAATAATTAGAACAGGACGCGGTGGTACACACCTGTGTCTCAGCACTTTAGAGGTGAGGGCGTGGGGATCAGCTCAAGGTCATCCTTGGCTATATATTAAGTTTGAGATCATGCCCCAAAAAGCCCCAACCAATCAACAGACAAAAGTCCCCAATCAGGGTTGATTCTAAGGAACCTGGTGACAGTTTTATCACTCATCCTCAATGACTCAGCCCCATTATCTACCTGCTAACTGAGCCACTATTCTACTCAGAAGACCATCTTCTAAACCTGTGAGGTCCACTATTCTACTCAGACGACCATCTTCTAAACTTATGAGGTCCGAGAAAACAACCACGAATCACAACTGCTATTTAAACACAAAGTCATGACAAAAAAAAAAAAAAAAAGTTCTAGGGCGCTAGAGAGATGGCTCAGAGGTTAAGAGCACTGGCTGCTCTCTCCCAGAGGTCCTGAGTTCAATTCCCAGCAACCACATGGTGGCTCACAACCATCTGTAAATGAGATCTGGTGCCCTCTTCTGGCATGCAGGCACGCTTGAAGGCAGAACACTATATATGTAATGAAAAAACAAATTAAAAAAATTTTTTACAGAGCTGTTACACAGAGAAACCCTGTATCAACCTCCCCCGCCCCACCAAACTCTAGTCAAACTGGACATGTACAAACCAGTACTGCAGAGCACAGGTGACTGGAAGGTTGCTACTGTCCCGGCTAGCAGCAGCCCATAGACAGTGACACCCTAGACCTGGAAAGCCTTTCTAACCTCAGAGTACTAAAAGCAGAGCTGGCACTGCACCCAACTGAAATGTCCGTGTAGATATACATGCATGGATTACAAGTGAAACAGAGTTACCTCAAAATAATACTTACCTCTAAGAACGTGGAAAACACTGATATTGTTTATATTATCCTATTTTTTCTTCTACTAAAAAAAATTTAAAGTGATGGAGAAATGGCTGAGAAGTTAGGAGTATTTGCTGCTCTTGTGGAAGATCTGGGTTCGGTTCCCAGCACACACATGGTGGCCCACAGCCACTTGTAACTGCAACTCTAGGGAATCAATGCCCTCTTCTGAACTCTGTGGGCACTGGGCATACATGTGCCACACATGCAGGCAACATTCACACCCATAAATCTAAAAAACTTTTACAGAAGTGTAACCACACCAAAAGTCCACAGTGAGGAAAGCGTGGCTGCATTGTGCTCACCAAGAACAGGAAAGGCAGAACTGACCCGGCTCACGGCTGCTACTCGGCCTTGGCTCTGACATTGATGCAGGACTGAATTAGTCAGAAAAATGTAACTTTTCCTTGGCTTTCTTTCCTCTGTCTTTTCTCTAAACATACTTTCCTTAACAATTTGGGTTTCTCCCCAATACTGTGAGCTTCCTTACGTCTCTAAAGCCTCTAAAACTTGGCTCCCTGCCAAGTAGCTGACAATCCACCACGTATCTGACCTCTGTGCCACTTTTAAAGGCACAGATTGTTTTCCTAAACTTTACACTCTGCCTGCCTTCGGGGCTTTCTTTTAAACTCCAATACAACTGTCAAACTTAAAAACAGAAAGGAAGAGGAACAGAAAAAGAAAAGGAGCTTCAGAATGGGAGGAACACAATCCCCCAGGAACAGTCAAGGCCAGCCTGGGCTACTCAGACCCAAGACTAAGAGAGCCAGGCGTGATCACTCACCTGCAAGCCTAGCACTAGGGAGGCAGGCACAGGAGAATCAGGTCAAGAGCAGCCTTGGCTATGTAGGAAGTCAGGCCCCCTGGCTACAAAGAGGGCCATTGAGATGGCTCAGCGAGTGCTGGTGTGAGCAGTGTGAGCCTAGAGACCTAGGCTTGAGCCCCGGAATCTACTTCAAGGTAGGAGAGGACTTGCTCTCCAGCCTCTACATTCTCAAATCACAGCACACATACCCCAATCCACACCCACAACAGGGAAAAAAAAAGCACATATTTAATTTTATATTTATATTTAAATCTATTTATATATAGGTACATATGTATAGTCTTTTTAAAAGAAGAATCTTGGTTTCGGATACATTTGTTGAATGTATCAAAACCATGGTTGGGGCTGGCTGTACTTCCTAATGAAATCCCCCCCCCTTTTTTTTTTGAGACAGGGTTTCTCTGTGTAGCTTTGGAGCCTGTCCTGGAACTTGCTCTCTCTGTAGAGCAGGCTGGCCTTGAACTCACAAAGATCCGCCCGCCTCTGCCTCCCCCCCCCCCCCCCCCCCCGGCTTTTTTTTAAGATTTATTTTTTATGTATATATATTAGAGTTTTGCCTGAATGTATATCTGAGGATGCCATATTCTCTGGAACTGGAGTTATAGACAGTTGTGAACTGCCATGTGGGTACTGGGAATTGAACCAGGTACTTTGGAAGAATATTCAGTGCTTTTTTGGTTTTTCGAGATAGGGTTTCTCTGTGGCTTTGGAGCCTGTCTTGGAACTAGCTCTGTAGACCAGGTTGGCCTTGAACTCACAGAGATCCACCTGTCTCTGCCTAGCTGGGATTAAAGGCGTGCGCCACCACTGCTCACCACAGCCAGTGCTCTTAACCGCTGAACCATTTCTGCAGTCCTCTAGTGAGAGTTCTAAACCTACCTGTGCTCCCTCTGTAAACAAAGAACGACGATCAACAAAAGGCCAGTCTGCAATGCCAGTGACAGGAGGGAATGAAATCTGTCTAACCTAGTATTGCGGCTCACAGACCACTAACTAATGGGTTGCCTAACTCCTGCCTACCTTTTAACCAGCTGTCTAATTATGACACGTGAACTTCTCTGAGCCTACTGCCTCATGTACAAAAAGAACAGATTTTCCCTGTGGTGATGGACTACTGGGGAGGATCTGATGAGTTTTTACAGCACTCAGCATGGTGCTGGAAAACCAAGTTACTGATGTCATTTTGTTTTGTTTTCCTTTCCTCTGGACTCCAAGTTCCAGAGTCCCAGTCCTAACTGTACTATTTCCTCCTGTAAGACGGCAAGTCTCTTCTCTCTATATGCTGAGGTGTTTTACAAATGAAGAATAAATGATAAAATCCCTGGCACATTACAAGACCTCAAGTGGGAGGAGCTATGGTTTTATACGGGGGCCCTAGAGGAGGGAAAGGGCCAGGACCTTCTGCACATGGTTGATCTCATCATGCTTTCGTTTTTGGTTTCGCGTGATCTTGCGCTCAGGCTGCTCCGCCAGCTCGCTCAGGTATTTCTCAGAGTTCTTTTGCACGGCATCCTTCACTGTCTTGGTCAGTGCTAGTCGGTTCTTGTCCACCCATTCGTCCAGTCGCCTGTTAACTGTTAAGATGGACCATGAGGGACTGACCTGCTACCTTTTCCTTCCACCCAGGCCCAGTGGCCCCAAACACTCACAGCCCACATAGTGTACATAGAATTCTTCTCGGCCCTCCTGGTCATTCACTCTAGACTGGATCACTTCTGCTGAATCTGGAAAGAAAAAATGGGATCTGATGCACTGAGGGATAATGTCCAGATTCACCCGTCCACGTCTGCTAGAGCACTTACTCACACTAACTATAAGGTGGGCTGGGTCAGGACTTTGGTTTCTGGGGAGCAGGGTGAGGCAAACCGAGAAAACCTGGTGTTTAAGTGTGTTTGACTCCAAGCTCATTGTGGTCGTCACTCACTTATTGGGGGACATGGGAGCTGGCTTCCCTCACATTTCCCAAATGAAGGTATGACCACATTATATTGACTTTCTGAACCTCAGTTTCTTTCTCTGGAAAGTAAGAATAGTGCTTACTTAGAAGGGTAAAAGAATGGCTTAAAACGTTTAGTATAGTGGTGGATACCTAGCAGATCTGTCTAGAAACTAGCGTTAGTCTGGTCTTCTATGGTGCTATTGCTGGACACAGAAGGCAGATACAATAATGAGTCACACGTGCACCTGCTCTCTAGCAGGTTCCCATTTAACAGAGGAAAGCAGACAAGTCTAACATGTTACATATATTATGGCTGCGGCAAAAAAAAAAAAAAAAACTATCACAGAACTTACAAGCAATTAACCTTGCCTGAGGGGTCAAGAATGGGATTACCACGGGAGATAAAGAGATAAGTTAAGTGCAAACACGAGAAAGGTTACCACATTCCGAGAAGAAATGGGTCCACCAGCGACCCAAGGTTTATAAAGGCAGTCTTCGGAGAGCCAATGGCCTTTACTAAGAGTGCCTAGAGGGGGCTGGAGAGATGGCTCAGCGGTTAAGAGCATTGCCTGTTCTTCCAAAGGTCCTGAGTTCAAATCCCAGCAACCACATGGTGGCTCACAACCATCTGTAATGAGGTCTGGTGCCCTCTTCTGGCCTGCAGACAGAATATTGTATACATAATCAATGAATAAATAAATATTTAAAAAAAAAAAAAAAAGAGTGCCTAGAAACCAGGGAGATCAGCTGGCCACTTGAGACAAGTGGATCTCTGTGAGTTCGAGGCCAGCCTGGTTTACAAAGCAAGTTCCAGGGCAGCCAAGGCTACACAGAGAAACCCTGTCTAAAGAAACTGTGGAGAGTTCTCAGACATGCAAGTGTTAGTTTAAGGAGTTTTGTTTTGTTTTTGAAACAGGGTCCTGGATCTCCTGAAACTCACTATGCAAGCCAGGCTGCCCTCGAACTCACAGATGCGCCTTCCCAGCGCTGGGATTAAAGGTGTGCCTACCATGCCCCCACTTTATTCTAGTTTTAAAACCACATTTATTTATCTGATTGGGGGGGTGGAGGAGAGCCTCAACGTGAAGGTCAGAGGACAACCAGTGAGATCACTGTCTCCTTCCACTATATGGGTCCCGGGAATAGAACTCAGACGGGTCACAATTGGTGGCGAACACCTTTACCTGCTGAGTCATCTTAGCTTGGGGTTTATTTTGAAGAGGGAAGAAAAAGAAACCTAAGTAAAAGGGAAACGTGTTTTTATGAACTGGGCATCCTCTTTGCTCGCGACCTAGAGGACGAGAGAAATGTAAAGACAGACAAAAACAAAACAAAAGCCAGTGAAGGAACAGAGCGAGAAAAAAGAAGTTCGAAATCAGGCAAGAGTGAGTGCTCGCAGGCTTACAACGTGCTCACCTCGCTGGTGGCTTTACGTGAGAAAGCATGATCCCTGATTTCAGCCTCCCGAAGCCTTACCTGAATAACCACCCTCACCCCGGGACGCCCAGCCCCCAAACCCCGCCCTACGGCGCACCCATCCGTAAGCCCCGCCCATCCCTAGACCCCGCCTCTAGGCCTTGGAACCCCGCCCTCACGCCAGGTGCTATCGGGCCGCCGGCACAGGTACGTTTCTCCGATTTCCACGGTGACTTCTGGCTCGCCACGCGCCGGGGTCGGCGGAGAGACGCGGCCCGGGGACCGCGCAGGCCCCTCGACTGCTGCATTTTCCCCGGGCCCGGACTCGCCCTCCCCCACAATTCCTGAAGTCGTTGCAGCTACCGCAGCTGTTGCTCCCTGTGCCGCCATTGCGGTATCGGAAGTGATGCTGAGACTGGCGAGACGGGAGCTTTTTAGTTCCGGGTCAGCGGGGGGGGGGGGGGGGGGGGTTGTGGGGGGGGGGGGGGGGGGGGGGGGGGGGGGGGCGGAGTCTCAGCGTTGGAGACTGTTGTAATGTGGTTTTTGTTTCGTCGTGGGAACCCTGTGAAGCTATCGGTAGTTACACTCTAGAGACCGTCCAATCTGATTTTTTTTCTTTATTTTTTTGAGCCGGTCTCATTTTATAGTCCTGACTTGAAACTCGGTATATAGACCAGGCCAGCCTTGAATTCACAAGAGATCCTCCTGTCTACTCGAGTGCTGAGTTTAAAGACGTGCGCCTCCACGCCCGGACTCAATCTAAATTTGGTTGAGTTTGTTTATCTTTTTGCTTTTGGTTTGTGTTTTTGAGACAGAATTTCTCTGTGTAGTCCTGTCTTTGTAGACCAGGCTGGCCTCGAACTCAGAGATCCACCTGCCTCTCATTTACGATGGGAGTAAAAACTGTTGAGACAGGGAAAGAACGAGTATGCCAAATAAACTACCTTCAGAGAATAAACCTTTTTTTTTTTTTTTAATCACATTAGTTCCAACAGGGCTCAAACCTGTAATGTCTCCAGAGGTGTCTTGAGGTCTCTTTTTATATCCTCCCAAATATTTAGGTTAGGATGTGTGCTACCACACCAGGTTCATACACTGGTACGGATTGTACCCTAAGGTTTCATCAGTGCTAGGCAAACATTGCTACTGAACTACATCTCCAGCCAGAATGGCACCTCTTAAAAAAAGGGGTGAGGGGCTGGGCAGATGCAGTAAAGAGCTATTTTGGCAGTGGCTGAGGAATCTTGAGTAGTGGCCCTTTTCTAAGAAGTGCCCCAAATTCACAGGTTCAGTGAAGATTAAACCACATGTACGTATGGTCAAGTCATAGGTTATCTAAACCATATGACCACATTCAAGTCAAACAACTTCTCACCAGCTGGCTAACTGGAATAAAGATCCTTTTCTCACCCCAGTCGTTTGGACGAACTAGCTCCCACGGCATGGTGAGTATGCCCAGCACTGCTGCGGACTTCTCCAACAGCTCATAGCACAGTGCAAAGCAGAGCAGGAACTTCGTAAGCCTCTTGTTTAGACATTCTCTGAAAGGTCTCTAACTCATAATTTGGTTATCGGTCTTCACAACAGTTGTTACGAGAGATGCACCTTGAGGTCGGGATCCAGAAACTATGTCCCGATAAATATCTCACTGAGCTATCATGGCACATGCCTTTAATCCCAGCACTCGGGAGGCAGAGGCAGGTGGATCTCTGTGAGTTCGAGGCCAGCCTGGTCTACAAGAGCTAGTGCCAGGACAGGCTCTAAAGCTACGGAGAAACCCTGTCTTGAAAAACCAAAAAAAAAAAAATTCCAAAAAAAGAAGTATTTGGCCACTGGATCTCTATGAGACGTGACATGGCATGGGGAATAAAATCTTTTTTGTGGGGAGGGGGAGCTGGAGAGCTGGCTCATCAGTTAGGAGCATGTACTGCTCTTTTCCACAGGCAGCTAAACACCACCTGGAACTCTAGCTCCCAGGGCAGCCTACGCTTTCTCTGACTCCACAGGCACCTGCAGTACCATGCATACACCCACAGGCAGACACATAGGAGAGACGGGAGAAGGCACTAGGAAAGACTGGTTGTTTGGCTGCTGGTCAGGATAGACAGTGCCAGGTATCTGACATCCTAAGACAGACAAGTCAAAGAGATACCTTCTCCCATTCCAACCCTGTCATGGAATATTAGTTTAAGATGTGTTACATTTGTTTATGCTGTGAAATATTTGTCTAATGATGCAAAGATGTGCTGTTTTCTTTTATGTGGCATTTGTTTAACTCTGTAAAGTGTTATTTTGCCAATCTAAAACACCTGATTGGTCTAATAAAGAGCTGAACAGCCAATAGCTAGGCAGGAGAAAGCATAGGTGGGGCTGGTGGGTAGAGAGAATAAATGGAAGGAAAAAAAGAGACGAGGGAGGAGAGAGACAAAGGGAGGAAAACACCAGGGGCCAGCCACCCAGCTGGCCACAGAGTAAGTAGGAAAGATATATAGAATAAAGGAAGGTAAAAAGCTCAGAGGCAAAATGTAGTTAAAGAGAAACATGATATTTACATTAGAAAAGCTAGCCAGAAACAGGCCAAGCCAAGATCAGTCATTCATAAGAATAAGATTCCATGTGTTTATTTGGGATCTGGATAGCAAGCCCCCAGAGAGGGGAAAAAAAAAAACAAACAACTATACAACCCTTTTCAGGATTGCTGTTGCATTTGCCCAGGCTTCTGTTACCTCACGTAATACTTCACCTGACATCTTCAGTTCCCGACAATGTCCTAAGTAAGGATTAGCCTAGGCACAGTAATCCACCGGTCGGTTCTGAGCACTCATACCCCATGCTGACTTCAAGCCAGTGTCCACGTGATGCTAACGTGCAAATCCTAGAACTGTGTGGGGACTGCACTCAGGCCACCCCTTACCATCGGGTGTATGAGCATGGATGCACCTGCAGTCCTGCAGGTGAGAGGACGTTTCAGGACTCAGCTCACCTTATGCCATGAGTTCTGTGGACACACTCAGGGGCAAGTGCTTTTACCTGCTGAGCCATTTCCCTGGGCCCAGACCCTTTTTTGTTCCTGCTGTTGAGATCTGTTATTTCTCCGTATGTATCAAGTCTATGTGCTTTGAAAGACTAGAACATAATAGACAACTGCCTAAAGAATTTGTTGAGACAGGGCTCTGCCAAGTAGCAGACTTGGCTTTGAAATCAGGATCCTTCTTTAAGTACCCCAGGTGCCAGGACCACAGGTGTGATTCTGCCTGAAAAGGTGAACGAGTCCTGGAACTCACTCTGTAGACCACGCTGGCCTCGAACTCACAGAGATTTGCCTGCCTCTGCCTCCTGAATGCTGAGATTAAAGGCGTGTGCCACCACCACCCAGCTTATTTTTGTTTTTTGGAGACATGGTTTCTCTGTGTAACAGGTATGGCTGTCCTGGAACTCACTCTGTAGACCAGGCTGTCCTCAAACTCACAGAGATCTGCCTCTTCTGCTTCCTGAGTGCTGGGGCTAAAGGTGTGGACCACCACCTTCGGCTAGTCTAGGAATTTAGATACTTTCTCATCTCCACGTCCCAGAACAGGGAATCGGTTACCATGGAACTTAACTCTCTCGTGTCTGCTCTGAAGATCAGTGGACCAGCTCTGGACTTTGTATTAAGATCACTTGCTTCCCCTACTTGCTTTTGGAAGTTACCCTCCTCCACACACACACACACACACACACACACACACACACACACACACACACACACACGGGATGGAACTGAGGACGTTATAGTTCTTCAGCCCTGGGACCACTTTAATTATTTAGACACAAATCTTCCTCAGGATCAGCTCCTAAAGAATCCAACCTGGGCTGGAGAGATGTCTCAGAGGTTAAGAGAATTGACGGCTCTTCCAGAAATCCTGAGTTCAATTCCCAGCAACCACATAGTGGCATACAGCCATCTACAATGCGATCTGATGCCCTCTTCTGGCGTACAGACAAACATGCAGACATAAGTGTATACATAATAAAATAAATAAATCTTTCTTTTTTCTTTTTTAGACAGGGCTTCTCTGTAGCTTTTGGTGCCTGTCCTAGAACTAGCTCTTTTAGACCAGGCTGGCCTCGAGCTCACAGAGATCCGCCTGCCTCTGCCTCCTGAGTGCTGGGATTAAAGGCATGTGCCACTACCACCTGGCACAATAAATCTTTAAAAATAAAAAGAATCCAACTTGAATTATCCCTTTTGGTCTTAAAACCCATCCTTGGAGCTGTACTGCCTCAGGGTAAGGCCCATGCTCCAAGCACTGCACATTGGCTGCTGCCTACCTCTGGCAGCCAGCAGAATCTTCAGTGTAGCTTCCTGCCAGTTAGCCCCCAAATACAATTCCTGTTTCCCCTCAACCCAACAGTTCGACCCAGGAGGCAGGAGATGGTACTGACCCACAACCACCCTCAGGAAGAGAACTGTCAGGAATCAGAGATGAGCTCAAGAGGTGGGTCTGAGGATGGAGAGATGGCTCGGAGGTTAAGAGCATTGGCGCTCTTTCAGAGGTCCTGGGTTCAATTCCCAGTGACCACGTGGTGGCTCACAGCCATCTATAATGAGATCTGGTGCCCTCTTCTGGCCTGCAGGCCGAACACTGTATACATAATAAATACATCTTTAAAAAAAAAAAAAGAGATGGATCTGTCCCAGCACTTAGAAGGCAGAGGTGGGAGAGACTGCGGCAAGTTCAAGGCCAGCCTGGTCTCGAAGTCAAGTTGGAAGCCAGCTACAGAGAAGCAGTCTCAAAGAAGAAAAGTCGGCATGGGGATGTGACTCACTTGGAAGAGTGTTTGTCTAGCATGCAAGAAGCTCTGCGTTCTGTTCTCAGCACTGCATAAAAATAGGTGTGATATTAGATGACTATTTCCTTGGTGAAGATCAGAGGTTCAGGGTTACCCTTGACTAATAGCAACTGCAAAGCCAGCTTGGGCTATAGGAAACCCTGACTCAAAACCAAACAAAACAAAACAAAAAAAAAAAAAAAAAAAACCCAGCAAACAAAAAGATCTGATTCTTCTATGCGGTCCCACCAGGCAAGCTCTCAGGTCCTAAACATAGGGGAGGAAGGTGGCTTCTACTGAAATTCCATTTGAAATTCCACTCCACGCGGTTCTGCTCGTGTGCTTTCTGCCCAGGTCCTTAGCCCTCCCAAGAGGACTTATCCTTGATCTGGGTAAGGTGGTCTCCGCATAACCTTAGGCATTTCTTTTTGCAGACACAGCAGACACGGTTGGCAGGTAGTATTTTTAACCTCAAGCTTAGGAATCAGGTGGCTTAAAAGGTTGCCCAGTCTAGTGACCTTCACCTCTAGACTCCGTGACTGCCAGGAAAGGAGGAGTTCCATTTGGGCCTCTAATATCGTCTGGGACCCAGAAAGATTTGTCCAATGAGCAAAAGCTGCCAAAGTCACCCCCACTCCTGCCAAATCAAATAGGCAGGAGCCTTGGGGCCAGTCCTCCTCCTGCCGGGGTGCCAAGCTAGCAAGAGGCTGGGGCATGACCGGGTTAATTCCCAGGGCCCAGGGAACCCAAAAGGGTCGGAAACAAAAGCTCACCTGCCCTCCCAACATTTGGGGCCCAAGAGGGCATTCAAAATGCAAACTTTAATAAACAGCAGGTCAAATAAGGATTCCTCTAGAGTGAGAACAGCAGAGCTGGTATTAGGGCCTCCAGGGTTCCTGCTTCCTCCCCTCCAAGACGTGGAGGTAGGAAGCAGCGGGCCCTGCTGAGGAGGAGTGGTGCCCAGCTCCGTGTAAGTCCACCTGTCTGAGGCCCTAAGTTCCACAGAGCAGCAATGTGTGGCGCTTAGTGGGCCCCCACCAGGCCCAGAAGGTCCTAGGAGTGTGGCAGGCTAGGAGGCCAAAATCCGCAGTCAGATTCTGAAGCTTTCCTCCCGGCCATCAATGTGGCGGAGCCGCAAGTAGACATCTGTGCCAATGCCCTGCAGAGACTGCAGCTGCAGGGAGCCACCGAGATATTCCGCATAGGCCCTGGACGTGGGCAGCCCGAAGCCAAAGCTGGGGGCAGTGGATAGGATAAGATAGGATAGGATAGGGGGCTTCAGAAGTTTGAGTGTCCTGGTCCACCCTTCCCCCCCATCTTGGGCAGGTGGGTCCTCACCCATGCATAGGTCCTGACTGGCCGCCACTGTGCATATCCAGGTGGCCGAAGAGGGGGCTGATTCGGGGGTCCTGGGTGCTGGCCTCGGCTGTGGTGAAGTGGTAGTCCATGACTCGATCTAGGTCTTTGTGAGCAATTCCTCCACCCCGGTCTGAAATCCTGGCAGGATGTTGACAACATGGATTTGGTCAGGTTTGATGAGGTCTCACTGGCCCCCTAAGCAGACAGTACTGAGTCTGACTTCCTGTTCCATCTAAGGGTGGAATGTGGCTTTATTTATCTCTGTTACCCTGTCTGGGCCATAGATTGCTTATACCTTCTCAGGGGATTCGAAATTTATTCTTACTCCCATCAAACACCATTTGCACAACTTCAGGTTCCTCAGCTGGCCCTGGCAATCTCAGGATCAAAGAATGTCTTTCCTAACCTGGGTCCAACTCCCAGAGGTGGGCAGGTTCTGGTTTGAGGTCCTATAGCGTTAGAAATAGTGCCCAGAATCTTCATCCACCCCAGCCCGGCTCTACTTGAGCAAACCTGATAATGAGATCAATATCATTATTGGCGATGGTGATGACCACATCAGGAACATTGTACGGAGTATCTAGGTGACTCTCCATTGTGGCTCTATTCAGGAGAAAAAGACCAGTAGATGGTAGCACCCTAGTTTTTGTCTTCCCCCACCCAACGCAGCCAGCCTACCTACCTCATGGCATTCTTGAGCAGCTCAGGCAGGATATAATCCAGCGGCATGGGGATGAAGGGAAAGCGGGCAGCCACATGTCCATTGATGCGGACTCGAGGGGCATTGCCATACTTGTGCTCACACAGGCGTCTGTGGATACAAAGGTTCAGGTTTTCCCTGGAGCTGTAGTTCCCAACGTGTAATTCTTCCCAGGGTGCATTGGGCAACACATGGATACAGTTTTGCTGATCACATTAAAGGGCATTTCTGGTGTCAGATGAATAGAAGCCAAAGGTTGCTGTAAACAGTTTATGCAAAATGCAGAAGAGTCCTCCACTACCTTAAGATGCCAATAATGGAGCTGGAGAGATCGTCCACCTGCTCTTGTGGAGGACTCAAGTTAGGATCCTTGCCCCCGTGATGGGCAGTTCACAACTGCCTCTAATTCTAGTGCCAGCAAGACTGCTGGGCACCAAACACACACATGATGCATATACATACATGCAGACAAACAGTCATGCACATAGAAAACAACGAACTCTTGGAAGAAATGTCAATAGTGCCACTGCTGAGAACCCTGCCTAAACTGCACATGGATCTCTGAGTTCGAGGCCAGCCTGGTCTACATTAGAGAGTTCCAGGACAGCTAGAGCTACCTAGTGAGACTTGATCTCAAAAAAAGAAAAAGAAATGGCTTAGTGGGGGCTAGAGAGATGGTTCAACAGTTAAGAGCACTGGCTTCTCTTGCAGAGGACCTAGATTTGGTTCCCCAACACTCACACGGTGGTTGACAACATTCTCCTCTTTCCTCTATGGTGCTGCATATGTATGGCACACACAGACACAAATGTGGGCAAAACACCCATACACATAAAATATTTTAAAAAAAAAAAAAAAGCAAAACAGCAGGCAGTGGTGGCGCACGCCTTTAATCCCAGCACTCGGGAGGCAGAGGCAGGCGGATCTCTGTGAGTTCGAGACCAGCCTGGTCTACAAGAGCTAGTTCCAGGACAGGCTCCAAAACCACAGAGAAACCCTGTCTCGAAAAACAAACAAACAAACAAACAAAAAAAGCAAAACAAGCCAGGCAGTGGTAATGCACACCTTTAATTCCAGCACTTGGGAGGCAGCGGCAGGCAGATCTCTGTGAGGTCTAGAGAGCAAATTCTAGGACAGCCAAGAACAGCTAAGGCTACATAGAGAAACCCTGTCTCAAGAAGAAAAAAAAAAGAAAAAAACCTTGCCCTAGACCATACAAAGACTCAGACCGACATTTTTGTTGACCCTGAGACATCTACCCCCTGCACCATTCTAGCCTTACCTGGCAAAATCCACCCATTTTTCGATAATCTTCTTTGGTGACAGACGAGTACAGATGATGCCCACAAAATCAGGCTGGCAGGAAAGAAGAAAGTCAAAACTAGCAAAACCCCACCCCACCTCAGCTGCCAAACACCCACAATCTCAGGAATGCCAGGGCAGCCCCAAAGCTCACCCCCGGCCCCTTACGTGCCCACCCCCCACTCTCGGGTCAGTCTTGGGGTCAGCTCCACCTTGTCTTCATGCAGCGCCAGGTGATGGGTAGCCAGCATGCGGATCCCTAGTCTTGAAGTCAGAGTCTTGTCCAGGAAGTACCGGACCAGCTTTTCATCCTAGAAAGAGGGGGCCTGTGAAACCTCTGTCCCCTCTCAACCCTCCTACTTCAGCGGGCCCATTCTCCATTGCCTCTGACCTCTATGTGTTTCCGGCTCTCACGAAGCCCCTCGGCTAACAGAGTGACCACGTCCTTGTGGTCATCCAGCAGCTGTCGCACCAGCTGGCAGTACCGGGCCTCATCTGCCTGGTCCTTGATCTGCAGGTCACAGAGTCCTAAGCATAGTGGTCCAACCCTGACCTTGGCCCCTCACCCTGCTCAACCCAGCCTCACCGGAGGGAAGTCTGTCAGCTTCTGGAAGGCCCGGATATATAGCTCATGCTGCGTGGAATAAGTATGGGAATTCACGGAGCTGCCACAGACACTTGAGTAGAAAACAGTTACCCATAGGGATCACCACCCAACTCAATTAGCAAGGTCCAAGCCCCCAGACCCTTCCAGTACCCACTGATCAGGTAGTCTCCGCCTCTGATGTCCCGAGGCTTAGTCCCATCTGGACCTGATACCTTTCAGCAGGCCGGGGCTCCCCATCTGCCTCTCGGGCAGTGTGTATACTGATAAAGTCCCCTCTACCTTACCACGTGCAGTATGGTGGGATTGCAACCAATGATGAAAGGAAGGCTGCGGAAGCCCTTGATGCGGTGAGCAATCCTCACTGGTAACTCCTGCTGCAAGTAGCGGCCACTTTTCTGTAAGAAAAAGAGGGGAGGGCCTAAGCAGCTGGCTAGAGTTTCTGGAGCAGAGAGGAAAGAGAGAGCCTTACCAGAAGGTGGCTGCCGTCCTGTGAGCGGCCAGAATAGAGCATCATGGTGGGAGTGAGGCGGACTGAGGGCTAAAAGGGAAGGTGGACTTTGAGCACCAGACATTCAAGACCCGCCAACCCCACATTAGCTCAACCCTTTCCCTGAAGACTTATCCCAGCTTCCCTTCTGCTAATCACCCAGACCTCATACCTTCTCTGCTGCCACGTCAATGGCTGACTGGTTGTAAAAGGAGGTGACCGTCTTGGAGCGCTCCCTGGCCAGCTCTACATGGTGTGTATCGGTGGCTGATGTTGAGCGAGTCCTGAGTGACAGTGAGGACCCCAAGAGGGGCCGGAGTGAAGGCCCTCTCCAAGGGCCACTGCCCAGCACAAATGTCAGTATCATTGTCCTGTTTCTTTGTTGAACTAGGCTGCCACTACAGGGCTGAGGGAGGACCCGACACGCAGTAGTGACCCCCCCCCCCAAGCGAAGCAAAGAGTGTGTAGGGCTTTTCTCAGAATTCAGGGATGTCGGTCCTTCGAGGATGCTGACTTGCTCAGCGCCGGCACGACAGCTTCCATCTATTGGAGTGGCAGAAGTCAGTGGTAAGGATCCGAATCCAGATGGCTTGCACTATTTCTCCAAGTGCACGCCAGTATCCTTAGACCTAGACAATCTTGCCCAGCCCTTACAACCACCATGTCCCCAGACACTCAGGCCGAGCCGAGGTTGGACAACACTCTCAGGGTGCCCTACTCTTCTATGTGAAACTTAACCTGACGGCGTGTGTGCGCGCTCAGGTCAGCGGGTGGAGTAATCTCCAGTCCACTCTAGCCGTAAAACCTCTCCTCAGCTCCCTCAGGTTCTGGACCACCCCATTCAGGGGGTGGATCTGGCCCCTAATCGGCTTTACTGGACCCGAGCCCTTAAAGACGCGCCTGCTTACACGCATAGCGTATGGGAGAACAGGGTGCATGCAGCAAAGCTGCAGTCCCAGAGTTCCCCATCGGAGCTCCCCTCCTCTGGGTCACTTAGTCCGGCCAGGGTCCCCCCATATGGTAGATGCCAGCCCCCGCCCATGCGCACTCCCGCGCAGAGTGGAGGCTGAGGACGTGTGCTGCCGAGCGTCTGCTGGAGGGGTTCTGCACTAGTTACTCCACTTACCGCGAGGCCAGACGCTGGGCCGGGCCGGGGTCCGAGCGGAACCGCCGCGGCAGTCGACCTGCCCGGCTAGCCGAGCTCGCCTGCGCCCTCCTCCGTTGTAACATCGCGCGGGCTGTGTGTGCCCAGTGCCTCCTGGGAGTTGTAGTTTGGCCACTAGGACTCGCGTGGGCTCCTGCCCACCAGGCTATCCCCTAACCCCTTCAGATAAGTAGTTTAGCTCCCTCCGGTGGTCCCAAAGTTACCAGTGACTTATCATCGACTCTACCCTATGTTCTATAAAATAAGCTCCCTGAGGGCAAAGTGCTAGAGAACAGGAAAAGCCCTTAGATGTGTACAGAATAGATCGACCTGTTTCTCTAAGGTCCCATCCTTTAAGCTGCTAACTCACTCATGGTCTGCCTGGTTCAAACTCCCCTCAGCTCCCTTAACACCCGAGGAAAGTTAGCTAGTTTCTCAGTGCTCTAATTTTGTTATTGGCAAAATGAGGAACTCTGTAGGTTATATGAGTTTATATATCCAAGCAGCCTAGAACAGGGCTAGGTGTGGAATTCGCACGAGCGTTACTAATTCTACCTGCCTGCAAGTTAACGTGAGTGGGTGACTTTTCTGACCCACAAGGGAGGTAGGGTGTTTCAAATAAATAGCCCTCTACTCTGAGGAAGAAAACAGTTAGGGTGTGATGGGTGTGCTAGTAGCTTCACAGGAGGTTGCGAGAGAACATGGCCAAGATACTGGGACCGGATAAAGAACAGCCTGGGTGATGAGGGAATGACTGGAGAAATATGGAATCCGGGAGGTAGGGGTGGCCAACAGCTGGGAGTTAGGAACCACCCAATGATTTTGGTTTTGCTTTGAGACCAGTCTCAAATGGTGAGTCTCACTATTGTGGACAGACTGGCCTGGGACTCTCTATCCTCCTGCCTCAAGCCTGGGAAACTGATCCTTCCTACCTCAACCTCAGCTTCCTGGCAAGTGCCACCACACGTGGGTTCCCTAAGGGTTTTAATTGTCCCCTCCTCTTTAGAACCCCCTAGCTGAGGTGATGGGAAGATGGACCAGATGGCAAAAAGAACTACTAAGACAATTTAGCCGAAAGAGGATGGGGAGATTTTCAGAGTGTGTGTGTTGATTGCTTAATATTTAAAGATAGAGCTGGGCGATGGTGGCGCACGCCTTTAATCCCAGCACTCGGGAGGCAGAGGCAGGCAGATCTCTGTGAGTTCGGGACCAGCCTGGTCTACAGAGCTAGTTCCAGGACAGGCTCCAAAGCCACAGAGAAACCCTGTCTCGAAAAAAAAAATTAAAGATAGAGTGTCAAATAAAGCAGAGGTTTTCTTTGAAAATGTGCTGCTATGCCGGGCGGTGGTGGCGCACACCTTTAATCCCAGCAGAGGCCGGCAGATCTCTAAGTTTGAGGCTAACCTGGTCTACACAGTGAGTTCTAGGACAGCCAGGACTGTTTCACAGAGAAACCCTGTCGGGGAGGGGGAGGGGGGAGAAGGAAAAAGAAAAACAAATGTCCCGATTTGGGGGTGGAATCCCTCACATGGATGATGGATGACCTGACTGAGACACCTTCCAGACTTGCTTCCTCACTCCAATCCTACCCCCCCCCTTTTTTTATTTTTTACGACTTCCTGGCAACATCCTGGTACACAGCCAGGAGGCCATTCAGCTCTGGCTGGCAGGCATAACTTTAGCACGTGGAAGAAGGAAGAGAGAAGGGTGACAGCCTTCATCACAAGCAAAGACTCGAGTGCCTATTGGGTTCCTGGACTTGCGGGTCACGTGGCTGCAGCGTGGACGGGAGCCACCCCAGGCGACGACTGCAGCAGCCAGTAGGCGGAGGCGTCTGGCGACTGCTTCACCTCGTTTAACCCGACTCTAAGCTAAGGCTTCACAGGGACTGGGTGCAGCTGCCGGCTATCTAGGTGGGGCACACACTTCCTTAGCTCCTGTTCATAAAGCTGCCGGCGCATTGGAAGCTTAGAGGTGGTTAGGCACTCTTCCAAGTGCTGTAACTTCTATCAGATGGGTACTGTTATCGTCTTCCTATTACAGAAGGTAGAATTGGGACACAGAAAGATTAAAAAGATTCGTCTCTCTCTTCTCTGTCCTCACTCCCGCATTCATCCTACGGCAGTCACACCCGTGGCCTCTCAGTGGTTCGTCAAACATATTGGGCTTATTCCACCTCTCACTGGCTGATCTCTCTGCAGGGAGCACCGTTACCCTAGATATCCACATTACATGTTTCCTCATCTTCCCCGGGGTTTCACTCAAATGGATGAAGCTCACACTGTCCATCCTAATTAAAATACCAGTGGCTTCCATCTCCCTCACTCTGCTTTCTCTTGCCTGGACCATTATCACCCGTTTCTTTGGTTTTGTTTTAGTTAGTTTTAGGGTTTGTCTTTTGTTTGTTTTTCTTTTTTCTTTTTTTGAAACAGGGTTTCTCTGTGTAACCCTGAATGTCCTGAATGTCCTGTAGACCAGGCTGGCCTCTGTCTCCCAAGTGTTGGGATTAAAGACATGCGCCATCATTGCCCGGCTATCACCCATTTCTTTTTTTTTTATATTTATTTATTTATTTATTTATTTATTTATTTATTTATTTATTTATTATGTATACAGCATTCCTTCCATGTATGCCTGCAGGCCAGAAGAGGGCACCAGACCCCATTACAAATGGTTGTGAACCACAATATGGTTGCTGGGAATTGAACTCAGGACCTCTGGAAGAGCAGGCAATGAATGCTCTTAACCTCTGAGCCATCTCTCCAGCCCCCTGTCACCCATTTCTTGTCTGTACTATTCTCACCAATAACATGCGCACTGTGGAGAGTATATATATCCATATACTGCACACGCGGGGCTGGAGTGATGGCTCAATGGTTAAACACACTGGCTGTTTTTCCTGAGGACCCAGGTTCACTTCCCAGAACCCACATGGCAGCTCACAACTGTCTGTAACTCCAGCTCCAGGAGTCCCAGTGCCTTCGCACAGATATACACGCAGGCAAAATACCAATGTACATTAAATAAAGATAAGGAAAAAAAAACCTGAAAACCTGTGCGCGCTTATGAATGCTTGGCTTTAGTTTTAGGCTTGTTTCTAGCTAGCCTTTTTTTTTTTTTTTTAGCTTGAACAACCCATTTCTCTTCGTCTTCATGTTGCGCTGAGTCTTGATTACCTTATCTAACTGCTGTTCATCACGCTTTCCTAGTTCCTCTGGCCCCTAGCTTGCTGAGCCCCAGCTAGTTGGCTCCCTTTTCTCTCTGCCCACCAGCCCCACCTAAGCTTCTTTTACCTTGTTATTGGCCATTCAGCTTTTTATTAGTATTAGACCAATCAGGTGCATTAGGCAGACAAAGTAAAACATCAACATATCTTTATCTACTTAAAAAAAATGCAACATACACAAAAACAATACATATTTGCATAGTTAAACAAATGCAGCACAAATGCAACACATCTTTACATAGTATATTCCACTATATACACGTGTGTGTGTGTGTGTGTGTGTGTGTGTGTGTGTATCTTGTTCAAACAGGATCATGCTATATAACTCAGAACTCAGGCTGGCCCAAAGTTTACAATCCTCCTGACTCAGTCCTTGAAGCACTGGAATTACAGATGTGTGCCACCAACATGACTTTTTCCTTTTCCTTTGAGACAAGGTTTCTCTGTGTAACCCTGGCTGTCCTGGAACCCACTCTATAGACCAGGCTGGCCTCGAACTCACAGAGATCCACCTGCCTCTGCTTTCTGAGTGCTGGGATTAAAGGCATGTGCCACCACCGCCTGGTCCAATATCACTTTTTATTGTTTTGACTTATTATTACTTCATTGTTATTGCTATTTTATGGTTGTTTGTGGTTACTAGGTATTGATAGGAGGTCCTCAACCTTACACGTAATGTGGTCTCTTCGCATGTTGACTAGGAATGAACTGACCCAATTACGTAAGACAGAAAAAGTGGTGTGGCGGATGAGGCTGAATCATAAAGTAACTGTGGCTTCCACCTTTTTGTTGTTTTGTTTTTAGAGACTGGGTCTCAGTATGTAGCTCTGGCTAGCCTGAAACTTACTCTGTAGACCAGGCTAGACTCAAATTTGCAGCGATCCTCCTGGCTCTGCTTCCCACGTGCTGGGATTACAGGGCTGCACCATCATGCTCAGCTGTGGCTCCTGTCTTTCTCCTCACATCACTCTTTCTAATCCAGGGGAAGTCAGCAACAGATAACAAGAGTTCGGAAATAGGCCGAAATCCTATTTGCCTGTATTCATTTCCATGAGCTGTTATAACAATTTGCTACAGGTTTGGTAGTTTGCAACATCACAAATTAATTTTCTTTTTCTTTTAAAAAAATGTGTGTGTGATGCATATGTGAAAGTACAAGTGTGCACGCACATGTGGAGATCAGAGAACAGTTTTGTGGAGTTGATTCTTTATTTTATTTTATTATGATTTTTTTTTTTTTTTTTTTTTTTTTTGGTTTTTCGAGACAGGATTTCTCTGTAGCTTTGGTGTCTGTCCTGGAACTAGCTCTTATAGACCAGGCAATGGAGTTGATTCTTGTAGGGGAAAAGGGCCAACCAAAACACACACACACATACCCTGGCCCTGAAACCAGAGCCAGTGAAAGAACCCACCCTGGCTCTGAGACCCGAGCCAGTGAGAGAAATACTTTAGCCCCAAAGCCAGCACCAAAGAAATACACTCTGAGTCTAAAACCAGAGCCAAAGAAATGCACTTTGGCCTTAGAAAAAGAGTCAGTGAGAGAAATATGCCCTGGCCCCAAAACTACAGCCAAAAAACTAAATAACACCAATGAGAGAAACACAGTTTGGCCCTGAAATCAGCCAATTCCAACCAATTCCTGAGCAGGGAAATCTAACCAATTCCTCTTCTCCCCGGGAAAAGGAAAAGTCCGCCCCTAAGAAGCCCTATATAAGCCCTGCACCTGTCAGTTTGCGGCTGCTCTTCTTCCACTTGGTAGAGGCAGCCAATCTCCTGGTTCTTCCCTCCCAGTACATCTCTTGAATGAGGTTAGGGTGAAGACTTTCTTTTGCTGGAGCAGAGACAGAGCAGAGTTG